TATTATCTCTATAAGCGGCGAGTATTACACTATTTTACGCCATGCGGCAGTTTACGTTGCCATGCGGGTGAGTGTTTCCCCATGCGGCAGTTTCCGTTGCCATGAACTAACTAATCAATTATGTAGATAATTATCGGATTTTAGAAGAGTAGCTAGTTAATATTAGTTAAATTAATGTCATGCATTATTTCAACATGTATATGTATGTAAATAAATTTATATTCCTGTAAAGTGAGTAAATAAATGGTGTCAATTGTATGCAATTTATTCTCCAGAGTTAATTGCTTTATGGTATGCACGTAATGAATCAAATCCACTCTGTTGTATTACCACCATTAGCATATTGCATATATATACTCTTCGTTTCTCAGTCCCGAACTATCAAATCAAATGAATATCACTCTAGTTAATGTATATTTGTATACACTTATAATATAAATATATGTAAATTGAATCGAGTAACAAGTCTAATCGACTGATTTTATTCTCGCCTAGCCATAAAACGGCGATTTACACACTCCTAATGCCACCAATATAATACAACTATTACTATCCGAGCAAAGTACATCTCTACAACTAGTGCTTTTAGTCCGAGAAATACGGTAATTATTGAGCTAGTAAGCGAAAATCGCAGGCCTGTCATACAGAAATGGTTGACTTTAAGTTGTTATCTCTAGATTATTGTTATTATTCCTGTTACAAATACCAAAACTCGTGGTACTTAATATAACCTGTTGGTTGTGCGTAATAGGAAATAATATTATATTAGTTTCCGACTTTCCGAGCCACATTTTACGAGGGTGTTTTTGTACTAGATATAATATAACGGCGTAACTGCTAACGCTAAAGTATCTAGCTTTAACCAAATAAGTGGCAACACAGATAAGTTTAAAAATCACGCGAGTTGATTTAAGATATGATTGTTTTATTTGTCGTTCTTTGTTTTACGACTTATTTCGGTTTGTCCTGTATTGGGGTTTGTTCTTTGATGTTGATTATGGAGAAAGTGATGTCTCCTGGCTGAGAATCGACGACATTTGTTCAGCTTCTCGTTTGACGTTTTGTTGATTCTAGTTCTTTGGTCGGTGTCTGCGATGCTACGGTATGTTCTTTATGCATTATGTATTCAGAAACTGTCACAGCTAGCTTTAATCCAGTATTCGCAGACGTGGTGGACTTGTCACCTTCCTATATACCATGGGCAATTCCGGACATTCGTTTGTGTTAATCAGTAATAGGACGTGTAATAATATGATTAAATTGATTGAGCTTTTGTTGTCAATTTTCCCTGTACTAGGTAGATATGTCCCGCTTGTATATGTAATGCTTCCCCTTTTAGCGTCATGGTCATCATCATTATTGTTGTTCGTCTTGGTTTCGTTTTCGGAAATGAAGTATGTGAGTTGTACTTTTTGGGGTTCGCTGTTTGCATACATGGCTTAATGCTTCACCTTTTGTATGGTATACGTCCCAACAGTTTTTACTGACTCTTCCACGATAAGGGGTAATGGAAGCTGGCATTTCTTTTTTTGAAAAATTGGGTTTGAGAATTATTAGGTTGGAATGAGTGAGCTAATTGAGCTAAAAAATTGTAGAGGAAGATGGGCAATAAGATTCAGTATGTTACCGGTTTAAATATTTTCGTTGAAATTATGATAACAGATTGTTGATTATTAATATTAACCTACAAGTTTTTAGTCGAAATTGTCGACTTTGACTATTGTAGCTGGCTTTTAAGAATTATGATAAACAGTTCAAAATTGGATATGCATAAATTGTACAATGAATGAGATAAATGTATACTCCAAGTGAAGTCCATGCCATCTATTGTATTTTGAGAAATCCGCATTACATTAATGAAATGATTTAATCAACACCAAAAATCATGCTTCTACTCATGTGGTAACAATTTTATGTTGTGTAGTGTCAGTAACATGATTTTGTGTGCAAATTTCCAGGCTGCCTTTGGGTGGCAGCTGTCTCCAAATACAAATACAAACACCCACTTCCAAGTTTGAATTCTGGTTTCACTTCCAAAATCAGCAAAGACATGTCTTGGTAAACATTATACAGCAATCTTTCAATTGTTACCAAAAGTATAGTAATCAGTTACAAATGTCTATTGAAATATGACACTGTTGGATGTCTTCTACTTGTATGATAGCATAAGAATGTTCAGTAGTTATAGTGCAGAGGTTTTTCTTAAAGCTAAAAGCTGCCTACATATACAGGTGAAACCTGTGGCCTAGTTTGCTGATTTTTGCCAAAGTCTGGTTTAGAAATTGTTGAGCTAGAAAGTTTCTAATTAATGAAATTTGGTGTAGTGGTGTTAAACCAAATAGTGAGTTCACCTGCCTGCTGATGGTACCATTTACTGCACCAATCACCAGTCTAGTATAGCATATTAATATGCTGACTTTAAAGGGAAGATGGACTTGCACATCTCTAGAAATACACAAGAAGGATATGTAAATGGTTTACAAAATGGTATTATTGCATCTCTTTCTTTAACACACTTTTCCTATTACCTTACATCTTCAGTTAATATCACATTCACTACAAGCTTCACTATCATTTCCTATGTACATGATTGTGTCCCATCCAATAACACAGAGTATTCTCAAGCTTTCCTGCTTCATCACATGCTTTATCCTTCCAATCTCCTAGCTGATGCAAATGCCTGCCATGCAATTCATAACACTGCTTTCTGTCATTTCCTGGACAATCTGTGGATGAAGAAGTAGACTGGTTGGGAGTATGTTATTATTATACTCATTTCATGTTTGATTACCAAACTTTGCATAAGCCCCTGAATTTAAGCAAAGCAAATGTCATGAATACAGAAACTTCATGGGCAGATGTGCAACAACAGAACTACAGAATTAAGAATGGCGTTACAACTTATATTACCTGCAGAATGAAAATTTATTCCTTTTTTTTCAAAAAATCCTTTTGTAAATCTATCTCTAGACTTACAATATGACATGATAATAATAATAAATAAGGCAGGCTTCACTTACAATATATCATAGACTGCAAGTAAAGCATAATTTTTGGAGTCACGACCAGAAGACTTATCCAAAAGGACTGAATACTTGCTCACTTTCTAAATTGTTTTATCCAGACTTTCAATTAGTGAGCATACAAAATGGGTCATCAATGTTTCACTTCTGTCAAATTGACTTTAATAACTTTTTTTTTGTTGATTCGGTTTAACCTTGTTGAGATAGCTTTGCTTGTTTGTTTATGTACAAATTTTTAGCAATCATCTTTAGTATTAGCTATTAATAAAAATTATGGAAGTTCAGGCTATTTAAAAATTAACTTTCCACAACAATCACCTTCAACAAGGTGACAAAATTAGTATTAGTATATTAATATCTTAGTTCTTATTCATAGTAATAGTGAGCTTGGAAACTACAATAGTATGGGGCTTCTTCATCACTTGATATTGATAGCTGTATTGATATTGCAGGACTAGTTTTTTTTATTTGTAACATTTCTTAATGATTCATTATATAATTCTTATTAATTTTACTCTATAACACTAACCTAACTTCTTCCTGTAAAGAAATTTTTTATCAGCTTGCAGAAAATATACCATTAGTATTAGTACGTGAACTTGCCTCAGGATAATAGATAATGCTTCATAATAATAAGTAGGGTCATGAGGAGAAACTAACTTCTTTTCATACAATTTCTCTTGATCAAGAAAAAAAAACCTTGCTGATGTTGATAGTAAAAAAAGGTTCATTCACTAAAAATTGCCAACGGCTTTGATGATGGAATTAACTATGTCCTCACCAGCAAAATTTATTATTACTTATACTATTATTATCATGCAATCAGTGAAATTGACTAATATTTAAAAAGAAGGCTAGGGTATTCAAATGAAATAAATAACTGTGTATCTATAAACAAGATATTACACGTAAACAAATGAGAGAATTCTTGCATGCTTAAAAGTAGGAAATGCGTTAACGAATTTTGGCATTTTTTCTTTAAAGCGGTTAAATATGTGTAACAAATAAGTGCTGTTCCACAATAAACCGATATAGTAAGAAAACAAAGACAGTTCTCATAATCTCGTTGACCTCTTTTTCCCATCAACCCATTTCTTCGTCTTGTATATCGTTACATGGCTGTTTCTCGTAATGCCGATCTTCTCAATGCGGCACTTTCAGCCGTTATGGGAACGCATCATTTCGTATCAGAAAATGTATTCAAAGAACGACTGGCCAAAACGAAAGGTGTCTATCAGCAAGTCGATTTGCATTCATTGCATCAATCTAATCTTGTTGGTGGTGAAGTCGACTCGGAACAAAACACTGTTGAGCCCAACAATGACCAAACGTCCAAGCAAGAGACAACCAACGAAGGGTGGGGAATTGTCATCAAAACTCTTACCGGGAAAAGCATTACGCTCAAATGCGAAGAGACTGACACCGTCAAGTCTATAAAGCAGCGAATTATGGACAAGGAAGGCGTTCCGCCGGACCAACAAAGGCTTATTTTTGCCGGCCAGACACTAGAAGATGATAAAACGCTCGCCGATTGCGACGTTCAGAACGAGAGTATAATACATTTGATTCTACGACTCCGTGGTGGCGGATGTATAATTAGCTATCTGCCGTCGAGTGCGTTGGACCCGGGCTACGATTACGATTTCACGCATATTAAGGATATAGGAGTGACGTATATGAGAGGAAACGTTCAGTATCGAAGACCGTGCGGATGGAAACGCTTTGCGTTAAAAGTCGCTGGAAAATACGATAATGGCGATAATACTTGGCTTGGCATTGATAAAAGGGCTTGGCCGGTATCTTACCATGGAACTGCTAAATATAATGCGAAATCGATTTCTGAAGAAGGATACCAATTGAGTAAAGGAAAACGTTTCGCTTTCGGACGTGGCGTTTACTCAACACCTGATGTGAACTTGGCCGAACGTTATGCGACGGAATTTTTGTTCGATGGCAAGAAATATGTGATTGTGATTCAGAATCGGGTAAACCCCAAAAATTTAGTAAAGCTTACGACGACGGCAGAAGCCGGGGTTGGTGAATATTGGATTTCCAAGGCTGGTGAAGATGTCAGGCCATATGGAATTTGTATAAAGGAAAAAAAGTCTTAAGTGTGTTAATTATGTTGTGAATATTGTGAATATTATTGTCGGTATATACAAACTCATATTGATTTACTGCAAAACACATTTAATTGAATAAAGTATGTGTTGCCTTATTTATATTCTGAAGTTTGCACTATCACAATACGTTATGATATTTAGTCCAGAAGGACAAAGGCCAAAGCGCAGTTAGAAGCGTATCAATTAGTAACGTAAGTGTAATTGCAAAGGGGTATGTGCTGATGACTGGACGTAGTTGTAGAAAAGCCAAACACGATGTCACAAAGATAGTGTTAACTGTCTTAATTATTAACCTTCTATAGTCATCATTCAGCGATCCTTGCTTAGTTTTCTATTCGGTCTAACCGCTCAAATACCCGTTTGGGGACGTCTAAATTGTTTTGAGCGAGATTTCTCGGAAATATCGAACGATTTTACATAAGCAAACAACAAATAACATCAATACTATAACGCCACAACCGCAATATAATGTTTGTCAAAGACAACACACTATACTTCACCGACAATACAACCCATTTTTTGATCAATTCAGAGGTAACATTCTCGTGATATTCATCATCAACAACATCGTATCGACACACACAATTAAACCAAACAATTGTGTTACAAATTACATCATCAATACCTGCAGACAATAGATAAAGGCAAAAAAAATAATAACGTTATGCAACGATGGACTAATTTGGTAAGTATTCCAACAAAGCAGAACTATGCAAACGAACTAAACGCTATAAATAATAAGCATTATGTACAAAACGTATACGGAGCGCACACCTATTACACCATCCTAGTTATTAGCTTAAATGGGCATCATCCCTTAAATTATTTCAGCAAATGACGGAACACGCGGCACGTGTGGTGAAAACAGCGAATATACCACAGACAGCGAATATTACTTACTCAGTCAATTTCTTTATTTTTTTTCGCTCTCTTCTTATACTCATTAGTTAGTATTTAATTCAAATTCATCGACGGCGCCAAGGTATCAAATACTCGTGCATGGTAATATTGATAAATATATATAACTAAACTTTATAGTTAGACGTCCATATAAGTTTTTCTTCAAATAATTATATATATACCCAACTTGGAAAGCTTGTCAATACTAATCTCGGATTGTAATCCTTACGGACGTGTAAACCCTCTCTCACGAAGAACAAAACCTTTGACATTATTTGCAATTTTGCAAACCAAAAACTATAAATCAGAAAAAAATGTTCTGGCATTGGCCAGTTTCAGCGTCTTCAAAAATGTAATTTATTGGCCGATGAAGTCGGCCGGTAATACAAGCACAATAACAAAAATTGTGTAACCCAAAACAGATGTACAGTATCTCCAAAAGGATGTCGTTAGTTGTACACCAATTGACAGCTTGATTCAATCCTCCTTGGAAAGAGAACGTAACGCCTTAAGACTTGAATGGATTTCTTGCTCAACTATTACCGACATGGAGTCAACTCAAATTGCCAACGTCTACTGCGCTATTCGCACGGCGGAAACGATGATAACGTTGGTGTTGCTTGGACGTATCCAAGAATGCACAGCCACCCTTGTGAGTGAGTTTGCTAGAATCTACTCACTACACAAAATTTATCGAGATAGTCGCAAACACTGTAATATTGCAAACGTTTCTGCTACAATTGAGCCATAACGCTCGTGCTTACCAACATATTTAGAACGTAAAGTTTGTGATAAATTTTCATAATCTTTCGCAGAACATTGATAACAAATTCTTCAGTATAAAACATCGACTTGGGAAACAGTATCTCTAAATTATACCATTGATATCGTAGAATATGTGTACTCCTTATTAGTATTAGTGTTATACTTGACTAAACTGGGCAAAGATAATGAAGCGGTTCAATCAATGAGTTGAATAAAAAATATATCAATATAATAATGATTGGAAAAAGTAAGATTTGTTGCCGCAAGAAATAATCAGAAAAGACAAATAGTGAGCAGGGCATTACTCGTGGTGCTTTTTGGTAAACTTATTTAATAATTTGGCAAGAAGAATGAAATGTAACTCTGTACATTATTATAGTTGGGCAACTGTGTGCAAATACGACTAAATTACATGACTATTTGCATAATCATTAGGGCGAGAAATAATTTTATGGAGAGAGCAAGGCCATTGTTCTGCCAACGAGGGCAAAAAATTACCAAACCATTTTACACTTGCCAAAGGTTACCGGAAAGCACCATCATACTGGGCTTTTGAACGTTTGTTTCAACTTGTTCGAATGAACTTTTTCTACCTCACAATATTTCTAAAGCCACTGGTGATGGTTAAAGCCATTATCGGTAATTAACCCGACACACGTCGTACAGGCCAGATTAATACTTCAGGAACAAGAAGCTATCCGACAGGTCACACAACCCGACAACCGGCAGATAGAAACAATAGTATTCCTAGTTAATTGTATTTAAACAATCATGGTCTGGTTTTTTTTATCTGTTTATTTCATTTATTAATTTTGGGGTCCTTGACGGGATTTATACTGTATATGTAATAGTAAGAATTTTACATATAAAATATGAAGCATGACAGCACAACAGTCGAATTCATTACTCTATTTCCTTAATATAATAATAAACGGTGATGTTTGAAAGAAAATGTCAATAAACTAACGTCATGTTGTTTTTGATATATTCACCCCGCACATTGATTCTCTTCGAGAAAACGAAATGTCTTCCATAAATGTTATTAATTCGCGGTCTAGTAATAGTCCTCGTTTTCTGTCCTTCTTATTTCCCGCTCTACCATCTGGAATACTATTTACTCAAATTTATAATTCTTCAAGCAACAAATGCCGGTGTCCTTCAATAAAATTGCAGAAAAAAATTTTAGTTTACTTTATGAGAAAATTGCGCTCAGAGCTTGTTATACCTACATTTTGCAAAATGGTAGTCAGAAATAACGACACTGCTTATCCGTTGCAAAGGTATGTCCAAATAATCTTCTACTAATCCAGGCCCAATAAAATGCAATTTACGATGGATGAGAATCAAAGTCTAATAATTGAACATGCTTCACGCTTGGCAAATAGTTTATTGTATCCACGACAAGCCAAATAAAATTTTTTATTTTTCCTTTAATTACAGTGCATACTGGTTTAAGTTGTTATACCGATACAGATTTTTATGGAATATCGATTGTTTGTCGGTCGAATCGACTGTTCTAGGAAATTTCTTTTAAGCTTGTTCTATTTTTTTACTGTACTAAATATTTCCCAACAACACATATGCCTGATAACAAGTATGCGCTATAAAAATTTAATGTGACATACAGTACTTATAATATTTTTGTAGTAATTAATAAAACAAAATTTTTTCTAAACATAATTGCTTTTGAAAGTTATATTAAATAACTTTTTAACTCTTCACACTTGCCATTAGTTTTTTATTTTTTTCGTGTAGCTTTCTCTAACTGTACATATTCATAACCGTATATTTTATATTCTGTAAATATTCTAAAACAAAGATCTTATGTAATGTTATACAACATTAAAAATTACAAGACTCTAAGCAGCAGTTTCATCATCATGCATGACACAAACCTCATTTATAAGTCTTTGAAAGACTCGCTTTTGTCCGATTGTATTATCAACTTGTGAGCGACGATGATGCTACTGTTGCTTTGAAAATACCAAATACACCAACGCTATCCCCGGTTAGAGGTCCTCCTCCGCCCCGAATCGGCAACGAATGGACATATCATCAATTGTGCCAACGACTATGGACAAACTCAGTATTAAGGAAACAGTTAATATGTTTTTAAATGCTTATCAAAAAAAAAAGTTTTTGATTGAAGCAAAAAAAACCAAGTTGTTAATATGATTTCTATGCAGTCTTTATCGAACAAAAATAGAAATTAATGTATTCATTTTTAAGACCTTTTTTGTCAAAGCAATTAATGTAATTCTTATTATTGCTGGCACGTA